TTAGTCTCGGCCTGTGACCTCTGCCCTTGTTACCATAACAACAAGTTAACAACACAGCAGACTGAACTGATCCTCAGCCAAGACAACACGACACAAACAATATGAGTTAAACCGGTCGAGCCTTGTGTGTCTTTCACTGTTTATGTAACATTAGTGACATTCATACAGAGAAGATTTGTATTTGTGAAGCACTTTGTGACTGTGGCTCATAGAAAGAAAGCAGGATGTAGCACTCTTTCACTCTTTCTGCGTGATTTGATCTCCCAGTTGTGTATCTTTGTCATTAGCTTCAGTTACTTTTCACCTGACAGATAAAAAAAACAAGAAAGCCGCTTTAGTTCTGACAGGTTGAACCACCTGCAGTCAGCTGATCAGACCAGATCTGCTCAGATGATCACGCCCAAACCTCTGACGGCTGATTGGTCGCTCTCACATTACATTAGTTTATTTAAGGCGAGGCAGCGCAGAGAGACAATAACAGTTTGGCTAGACCAGCCAATGTTCAGATAAAGTGTTTTGTAATTATTTTGTAGTTTAATAAAAATCTAAAAATAATCATAGAAAGCAACTACAAATTGTTTTATTCTTTTGTAATTTTTTTTTACTTTTGTGGCTATAAACTAAATAAAATAACAACTATTAACAATCATTTACAGAGGGTTTTTAAATAGATTCATATTATTTGTGCTATCTTGACCTTAAAACACAATTTTATTAGTTTAGTTCGTATTAATCATATAATGTTTTGTTTTAATTGGATGAAAAATAAAGTATTTAACCCTTTAATTGGTCCTTACATTGCAATCCCAATCAATTGTTTACTCTATTAACGGTCTAATCTTTTATTTTAAGTGCTGACTTAACGTTATCTTCTGTTCTCTGCTGAAACCGGCAGGGAGTTTTCCAGATTAGAGCCAAACACGTTGCATTGCTTGTTTAAGGTGTTGTGAACTTCACTGTAAGTGTCTCTGACAGAAATACCATCACTCCGGTTTGCATTCGTCAGTGGTGAAATATCTGAGTGGGCTGGAGGATAATGTGTCACCTGCACTTACTAACCAGTCTGGAGATCATTAGTCAGGTTAGAGCCGGGCTGGTTACTCCTCCACCGGTGTTTGGACAGTGACTCAGTGGCATTTCTCAACACTTAGCCAGGGTTCAGGGTCCAAGGATGGAGGAGAGAACGGCAGCAGTTTAAAGGTTAAATCAACACAGGAAGAAAAGTGCCACTGCTGCTCTCTGTGGGATGAAAATTTGACACTCTGGCCACTCCCCAATCAGCAGGTGTTTTTGACGACTTATCACTAATGCTCGGCTGTAATGGCGGTTTCTGGGTTGTGTCCAGAACTGCAGCGTGCTATAAAGTTTCATACTGTGTGTCCCATCTCAGTCCTCCTCCAAGTCTGCAACTCAAACTAGTGCATACCCATATAGTCCTTTATAGGTTTATTATACAATGTTGTTGCTCCTTCAAAACAGACCAGGAGCCTTTTATACCTTTTTCTATGGATTATCATGAAGTTTGAGACATTTATTCTCCCCACAGGATGATATTAATGATCATCTGATGCTTCCTTTTAGCCCCACCATAAGACCAAAGTTCAGTTTGTCCTATACTTTGGCTCAGAAATGTATTTGATTTATAGGGATCCTTTGAATATTGATTGACGATGAAGACTTTATTAATTTCAAACCTAAAAATAAAAAATATACCTGAAGACAAAATCCTCTCAAATTGGGGGTCTGTGGTCTAATTTGCATCTAATGTGAGGCTCCTTGACATGAAAAAGTTTGTGAGCCCCTGAGCTAGGTGACCTTTATTGAGTGGCTCTCTGTAGGTTATAGCACAGGTCATTGATAAGATAAAGATTGATATTGGCTTTGCACAGAAAAGGATCTCACTGGAGGACGTAGAAAGAAATAGAAGACAAAGGAGAAACCATACTGTATCCAGTTCAAGCTCTCATTTTATATTATAACAGACTGATATTTCCTATAATGCAGGTTGCTATGGGAGCCTTTGTAGTAACCAGGGAGCTCGACAGCAGCATTTCTTGCTTTCTTCTCATTCGTACTCTATTTTGAGATAACATTTCCAGCAGCGCAATGTTTGTGTAAAAGCCACATTATCCTTGAGGACTTTTTTTTTTTTCTTCTTCGCTGTGATAAAATGTGCTGTGATGCTTCCGACACCCTCGCGGGTGTTATCTGTGTCTTGCTGCACTTCAGGTTTCTGTGCTGCCAGCCGAGTACAAACATGTTGATCTTTGTGTTTGACGTATGGATGAAACGCCGGCGGTAGTGAAAACCTGTGGCCGAATGAATGAACATGCGCAGGTGGTGCTAGCAAAGCTGCACTGAGACGTTCTCGAGGTGTGAAAGTAACACGACGATGGTATAATTACATGACGGGGAGAGCGGGAGCAGGTGGAAGTGCTGCTTCACTCACACGTTCAGTTTCTGTAAACGTGCCTCCATTCAGTTTCTATCTCTCTTTTTCTGTCCTCACTGTTTCCACCCCACCCTCCACCCTGAAGGTCTCATGTCCTTTTCCCCCTGTATAGATGTGCTCCATATTCATGCACACAAACCAAACCAGGAAAGGTGGACTGTGCAGAGGTCACACCCATCTAAGCATGCAAAGTCCTCTCGATCTTTTCTGAGTCTGTCTCAGAGCAAAGCTTTTGCTTTTCAGAGACAGAGAGAGAGAGAGAGAGAGGTAGCCTGAGGAGACAGCTGTCCCTCACAGAGATGACAGTATCAGAATAGAAAAGACGTCTGGGGACAATGTTTGAAACACTTCTTCCCTTTAGTAATGCCACTTTATGTTAATACTTCACTGCATTTTAAAGAAATTTTTTTTTTTTTATTCTGCTACATTTATCTGATTACCTTATAGAACAGTTGTCTCAACCTGGTATTGGGTCCGTAGCTGGTTTTGTCATCTCATAGAAGGACCACTTCAACATTCAATTACAACAATAAAGCCCAGTAGTCTGTCTAGTCTTTCTTTTCTAGTCACTCAGTTTATATATATATATATAATATTTCCATTACTGACATCATACTTAACCAAAAAATGCAAACAGCAGTTTCTGTTTATTTTATATAATCGGCTCTTTTCTTATCAACCCTTTACATGTATTTGTACCTTACTTAGTAATAGAGTATTTTAACAGTGTTGTGTTGCTACTTTTACTCGAGTACAGAATGTGAATACTTCTTTCTGACTGTGGAAATATCTACAGACTGGCCTGAGATCAATTCTTTATCTCTGAAACTGGTCTCCTAGCGAGCTTGTGGACAGAGCGGCGCACAGAGAGGCACACCTTTATCACGTGAAAGCTTGTGTGTGTGTGTGTGTGTGTGTGTGTGTGTGCATGTGTGTAAACAAAGACGCCGCTGTGTGTGTGTGTAGCCTCTCTCCACCACCCTTTGCATAAGCCTGAGATAAGTGAGAAAGGGAGAAAGCAACCCCCACCTGCCTCCCAGTGCCTGTGAACTGTGTACACTCCAAATATTTCCATAGCCAGCCCTCACACGGAAATGAAGGAGGAAGTCATAGCAGGGAGACAGAGAGACAGGTTTATTCTAACATTAATGAGGATACTGTTTAAATTAAAATGTCTGTCACTGTATGGACGATATATACACACACACTGCAGACTGCTGGATCAGAGAAACTTGGACAGCACACTAGTCAGACCACACCTGTATTGTAAACATGAGTTTGTTTCTGAACACCTGTACACCTTTTACATTTAGTTTTTTACCTTGTGACACAGTTTTACATCTTTGTAGTATTAAACCAGATCAGAAACTGGACTAAAATAATTTTAAAAACTACTTAAATTGACTAAAATCAACAAGATTATGAAGTCACATTTTGATGATTTGCCAGTTTATTCGAGTGTCAATGAATGCTCTTATATTGTGTATATATTGGTTTTATTTTTGTGTTATTCTATGAATTTAATTATCTTTTTTTATGTGTGCAGCATGAAGGAACTCCTAACTTTAATTTCATTATACAACATTGTGTATTTACTTGATTACTTTCTCGATAAATTTATGAATTCTTAAAAGATGAGGTCTTCAAAATACCCATTTTTTGTTCGACTAACCAAAAAAATTAAATTTATTATAATCAAGAACAAAGAAAACCAGCAACTATTCACGTTTAAGAAAGTGAAGCCAGTAAATATTTCACACTTTAGTATAAAAAGCACTTTAAAGTGAGAATACTTCAGTTTTGTTGTATAAAACTAGCCACACATTTGCAGTCACAACAGGATTTTTACAGTAATAACTCATGACTCGTTGAGCTCTCTCTGCTGTTTGACCTCTTGTCACAGAGCATTTACAGATCTAAACGTCACAGAAGCAGTTTTTGTTTTGAATGTTGCTGTCTGATGAGCGCTCTGTGTACAGCACTGTCATCTTTTAACACAAACTGTTGTGTGTATCCCTGTCCTCAGTCCTCATCCTGGAGCCGGTGGAGCGGGACGATTTGTGCGGGAAAGTCCTGAAGATCACAGACTTCGGTCTGGCCAGAGAGTGGCACCAGACCACCAAGATGAGTGCAGCGGGGACGTATGCCTGGATGGCCCCGGAGGTCATCAAGCTCTCGCTCTTCTCCAAGAGCAGCGATGTGTGGAGGTACTGCACTGCGTGTTTCACCTCATTCCCCCGATTTATACAGTGACAGACTTCTTCAGGACAACTGGAGGTATAGGAAGAGGAATATCAGACAGTTTTGTGACATTGCTTTGAGTGACCTTCAGTTTAACTGAGGGGTTTTAAAAATAGATTCAAGAATAGATGCATTAGAGGTTGTACAACTTGATTTTATAGTCCAGTAAAGTCAGATTAAATCTTATTACTTTATTATTAAAAGTGTTTCCACCGCCTTGTTTAATTGATTTCAAGGGAAACCCGATTGAATCTGACCACGGATTGTCTCATGTGTTTATCTAGGTCATATAGAGGCATCAGTATTAAATTGAGTGTTTCATAACCAGTCAAAAACTCCTTGTAGTTACAAAAATGCAATATAAATATACTCCATTGCAGATTAAAGTCCTGCATTTAAAATGTCACTTACGCAAACAATATTTGAAATTAGATTATTCATTAATGTGTAAGCAGCATTTTACTGTTGTAGTTTGTCAAGATGGAGCCAGTTTTAAATCAAGTTGGGTAATTTATTCTGTAATATTTTATAAGCTCATCATATTTTTTGTTTATAAAACTTTAATATGTTAAGTAACTACAGTTGTTAGATAGATGTAGTGGAATAAAAAGTACAACATTTCTCTCAGATACAGAAGTATGAAATATAAATACTTAAGTAAACTAAAAGTGTACTTAAGTACAATACTTGAGTAAACGTACTTATTTATTGTCCACCGCTGGCGTGTACGTTTTGTCGTTTATGTTAACTTTGCATCCTGAATATGTTGCATCACAGACAAATAATTCAGTTTTCAGTTAGTGGAGATTTCCAGGGCCTTCATCAGCATCTTCTGTCCTTCATCAGGAGGTAGACTGTGCTTGGATGTCATGGAGATGCTTCCCTGGTGTCCTTTCTGCAGCAGTCATGGGTTCAAGTCCAACCTGTGGCCCTTTGCTGTGTGTCATCCCCCTCTCTCTTTCTCTCTCTTTCTCTCCCCCCTTTGTCTTCAGCTGTCGTATCTAATAAAGACAAAAACAACCTTTAACATTTTCCCTGTCTGTCCTCTCTCTGTGTTTCTCTCTCTGTGTGTCACAGTTTCGGTGTGTTACTGTGGGAGCTGTTGACCGGTGAGGTTCCCTACCGGGAGATAGATGCTCTGGCAGTGGCTTACGGTGTTGCCATGAACAAGCTAACACTTCCTGTCCCCTCAACGTGCCCTGAACCTTTCGCTCAGCTGCTGGCAGGTAAGCAGCCCAAACACCTGGACACTTTTGAGTGGTTATTAAATCCAAGAATACAGATTTGTGATTTTCAAGAAAGAACAAACGTCTCACTGTGAAAACAGTTTGACAGATGTTTGTTTTTTCATCGTACGACTTCCTCCTACATCTCTGTTGTTGTATTCATTCACGGTTGGCAGGTTTAGTTTTATGTCTTTGTGCTTTTTCTTTTAGGACTGTACATCAGTTATCAAATACAAACTTAAGCATGTCACTGATTGAAACTCACTTGTGGTTACTTTAAATGTACAATATGTAAGCGTGGGATCATGGGAGTTGTCATTGTTAGCATTCCTTCAGGGTTCATGAGGTTTTTACCGGGAGCTGAATTATTCACAGGTCTCCTTCTCTCCAGAACAAACAGATGAGGTGACAAAACTAGTAAAAACACCAAATACAGCAATTTAAAAAACTTAAAAAACAGTGTTTCTCCGACACTGTTCAGTGCACAGAAGACCACCTTGGAGCCGAGCTGCTTCTAACGTCAGCTCATCTTGTTTCTCTTATAACTTAAATGACTAAAATCCTTCATCCAGTTAAATATATATATAGTTAAAAATGCCGAAAATCTGTATGTAAAAGTGTATTATAAAAATGTCAATTTATGACAAACACAACGACTGCACTATTGACAGGTGACTGATTAAAACGCACCTTACCTGAATAAAATGAGAGATTTCTCTGGGATTGAACATTGTTGGAAACATTTGGGATAATTTAACACAAAACAACAAACTTTATAACACAGGTTTAGTGTTTATAGTCATTTTGATGTTACATATTATAGGTTTGAGATAGCTGGAGGTTTTGAGGTCACTGATGAGTAGTTTTTTATTCTCAGATGAACACTAAAGAGTTAAAACGGTTGAAGTCTGAACAGTTTCATTAAGTTGCTTTTTATACATCCGCGTGCAGTCCTGCGCCTGAGCTCCCCTGGGCCGGATTTCTCCTTTTCACCTTGCAAATAATCCAGGCAGCGCTCTGTTAACAGTGGTAGAGTATTAACCGGCTCTTGTTTCACAGTTCAGGTCATCTCTGTTTAAACACACGCACCTGCCATATATCCAAATTGCTTTAATGTGCTTATTCCCCAAGGTCATTTCTTCTTGGATGTGTGAACTGCAGGTTTTTTACATCTAGTAAAAAAAAGAAAGAGGTAGTTGTTTCTTAAAACTGTCAGCAAACTTCAGTCACCTCCCTCCACTTCCCTCCCACTCTGCTCCTAAAGCTCTTCCTCCTCATCCCTCCTCTCACTCCACTTCTTCTTATCCATGTTCATCCGTTAATCTCTCCTTTTTCATGCCTCGCTGCTCTGTTTACTCCTGTCATCATCTCACTTTCATCTCCTCTCCCTCCAACTTCATCCACACTCTTTATGCTAATTTTAGGTTACCTAATAAATAAACTGTACCTGCTATAAACTGAGAAACAGCTCTCTGGTTGCGCTCAACAAAATGTACTTTAGCATGAATTGTATTCTTTTTAGTAGATGGTTGGTTTAATCATGTTGTGGAGATCGTGCTGATCAGCGTGTGGCTCAGCAGATTATTGTAGGTGTGCACCATGTTTCTGCAACACTGTCAGTCAGGGTTTGGCTCGTGACGGTTGCCATATGCTGTCCCATCTTGCTCGCTTCCACTTTCTCATGTTGCCTTCTCTACTGCCAGAAATAGAAAAAAAGGAATATATCCAGACCAAAAATTAATGGTTCAGTCTAACTACACAACAAGATGTTTGTATGCTTTGACCTGTGTTTTAGGAATGAATGTCGATGAAAGGAAAAGTCTTCTGCTAACGAACCCTGCTGCAGCTGTCTTGTGCTATAGAGCTCCATTGTTGTCCAAAAAATATTAGAAACACATCAATGAGCCACATTGTTCCACTGGGTGATGTTCCTTCATTACCACGAACACACACACTGTAGTTTATTTAGAGTCGATCCCACGTACACCGCCCCTGCTGCCTTAAATATTCACTAGAGCACCAAATGTGTATCCATCCACCACTGAAAATAGTCCCAAACAAATCCACTATTTACTCCTGATTGAGTAACATTTGCTAAAAATGACAGTGCTCAGGTTTTTTAGGAAATTATTTAGCCTTTTTTTTAAACTTGAACTATAATTTTTTTTTTTTTTTTTAAAGATTTGTATCTTCAGTAGGAGCCATGTATAGTTTCATGTAGCTGGTCAGGTGACGTGTTGC